TGCTGGAAAAACCCTGAGTAATGACCACGGGACTGTTCATGTGACAGCAACACCCCCGTGGACTGCGGGGAAAGGACGGGGCTGGGCCTGACCCAGTTCCTGGAACGGGGTGGGAATGGCCCCAAAAATGCAGGGATGGCACGGAGGGGCAGAGAGAGATGTCCGGACTGGACCGAGCTGAGACCCCAAAAATGCAGGAATTATGTGGAGGGGCACAGCGGGATGTCCAGCGGGAATGGCCCAAGTTGAGATCCCAAAAATCCAGGGATGGCGTGGAGGGGCAGAGAGGGATGTCCGGACTGGACCAAACTGACACCCCAAAACCAGGGACGACATCGAGGAGTAGGGCAAGATGGTCAATGGGACTGAGCTGAGACCCCAAAAACGCAGGGATTATCTGGAGGGGCAGAGAGGGATGTCCAGCGGGACTGGACCAAACTGAGACCCCAAAAATGCAGGAACGGTGTGGAGAGGCAGAGTGGGATGTCCAGCAGGACTGGACTGAGCTGAGACCCCAAAAATGCAGGAATTATGTGGAGGGGCACAGCGGGATGTCCGGACTGGACCAAACTGAGACCCCAAAAACACAGGGACGTCATGGAAGGGCAGAACGGGATGTCCAGCGGGACTGGACCAAACTGAAACCCCAAAAATGCAGGGATGGCGTGGAGGGGCAGAGAAGGATGTCCTGACTGGACCAAACTGAGAAGTGACATTATCAATCCTTATCAGCGAGTTGCCATGGCAACGCGAAGGCATCACTCCCTCTGGTTGCCCCATCCCCTGGGGAGGTTGCCCAATTCTGCACCCCATGGGGGATCTGAGGGTCCCCACCCATCCCCACCCTCCTGGGTGACCCCAAACCCATCCCAAACCCCACAAGGGACCCCCGGCACTGACCGGCTCGGTGTTGGAGGATGAGGAGGGCAAGGAGCAGGACCCCGAACCGATCCATCGGCACAGAGAGGATTTGGGGGCACCCGGCGCCCCAAAACTCTGGCGACAGAGAAGATGGAAGCATCGGCGTGGTTTTTCACCTCCGGGGCGAGCTCGCGTGTGGTTCTGGGAGACCAGAAAAACAATGTCACAGAGCGATGGATTCACAGCCACGCCCAGAGCGCGGAGACGGTTTTGGGGCCACAAAAACGACGAAAATATCCGCGGCTGAGAAGACGGAAGCATCCGCGTGGCTTTTCACGGCGCGGGGCTCGCGTGTGGTTCTGGGAGAGGAAGAGCGACGTCACGGGGCGATCCGAACCATAAATGGAACTAAATGACTCGAGTTCTCCGCGGGGACCGCGCGGGAGGGACGATGATCCGGATTTTCTCCCAGCGGAGCTGCTCCGTCCCTCGGATCCCATCCCGGATCCTCCTCCGGCCTC